TTAATGTAAAATCTATTTCCACAAAAAACTCGAATAAAACGCGTCGCGTTGACAATTCTCGCACTTGCCATGCACGCCTCTGAACTGATTAGACATGCTCCAACTAGCCGAGCACAAACTATTACGCCACCGCTTTATAAAAAAAAGCGAAATCCAGCTCAAAATTATTATTTTTTCATTCTTTGCTTTTCATTTAATTTGTTGTTGCTTCGTCTTTCTCTCTTKATTTGCATTTTGCACGCCTTTCTTATCGCTAGCACTAGCGGCGCTCACGCAGCAATAGTTTCAACAACTCAAGATGACAACGACTYCAACACTTGAGCAACTAATTATGCCAATACTCGTGTCTATTTAAGCGCCAAGTGGCAGTTGACAATTTATTCGCATTCGCACATTTTGTGSCACTCGACACTTTGTGGTGCAGAAGTACCGATCCATTTCAGTTGTATTTACTTGAAAAGCCCTTTAGCTGTTGCAGTCACCCTGACTTGCGCTACAAGCAGTTTCGTCTCGTCGTTCGCCGCCCGACTTCTCGGTACTGCTGCCAGCAATGCTCCGGCACTTCTAAGTCACTTGTAGGCACAAATTAAGACATTTTCATTATTTTAATTGTTCATTCGGTGTTTTTTTTTTTTTTTTTTTTTTTTTTTTTTTTTTTTTTTTTTTTTTTTTTTTTTTTTTTTTTTTTTTTTTTTTTTTTTTTTTTTGGATCCGCAGTATTTTGCTATTTACACTATAATCTCTTAAACGAACACAAATGTTTGGTATGGCAAACAACAAAAACGAAGCTTCGCTAATCGCTCTGACATGACTATCTTATCGCTAAATTTTTGAGTAATTTTTGTGCTACGTAGCTTTTTAATGAAAATTTCGCAAAAAGGGTGTTCAAAGTAGAATATGTTTAATTAAATTTTAACATAAATAATTATTTGCAAATTTTTTTTCAAGCTTGATTGATCCTTTCTYTCATCAAATGCTTTCCTTCTGATTTTGTTGTAGCGCGAGGCTAAATTAAAACACAGTAGTAAAACAAAGTAGTAATTTTCGGATAATGTATGAACTTATGGCAAAAGTGCGATTTCAAGACAAAAATAGCAGCAAAAACACAGTCTTTCGACCATTTCACYGGCGAATAACATTTAACATAACTTTAGACCTTTAATATCAACAGAGGAAAAGAGATGTGTTAAYAAACGATCTTGGTGGCTAAGCGAGGTGCCCAAAACGTAAAATTATCTACTCACCGACGTGTTATCTCCAGCGCCGTATTGTTGAAACCAAATGTCGGCGATATCACGAGCTTTAATTTAAAGCATCAAATACTTGGTTATCATGACACGACAACGGTCTCCTTATACGGTTGTGCTCTCACCGGCATTTATTTTTTGATGAAATATGAGCCGATGATTCCACCGGGCCACAAAGCACACCAAACTGTTTTTTGTTTTTTTCTCAATGATGTGTCAGCTCTTGAAACTCTTCAGCTTACCCTGCATCCCAAATGCACCAATTTTGCTTGTTTACACACCCATTGAGCCAGAAATGGATCCCATCGCTGAAACTTGGTTCGAGAACGTCGAGTGCATAAAGCGAAGCAATGTCGCTTGGGAAKATCGAGTGGCTTCATTTCTAGCTTAAGCTGCATTTTGTAYGYTTTCAATTTAAAATATCGACATGAATCGTGCCAAGTTGTTCCATTCGTCAGTTCGAGTTGCTGYGAAAGGCGCTGAGTCGACTCTCCACGGTTTTCGTGTATACTCTCAGCTAYGGCAGCTATATTTTTTTCAATGCGTGAACGTGGTCTATTAGGTCGAAWATTATCCAATRCTGAATGCTGATTCACTCGCGATTTTTCYTAAAAAGTATATTGAAAAAAGTACCTCTATTTGGTTCACCCGTTTAAAGAAAGTTCCATTTTTAAACTTATTCAATGTTTAAAAGTCGTCTTTAATGGTGGTGCACATAAATAATTTAAACAGTTCGTTAAAATAACATTATTCTACTGTTTTACAGCTTTTATTGCCGCCGACAAACTCGCTTATTAATAATCGAAAGTATTTTATTTTTTAGAATTATGGTTCAATAAATCAACCGTGAATAATTCTTTCGTTAGGCGTTATCTTAACGCTATTTTGAAATATTTGCAATGATATTTCATTAATATAAAAGGTTTCTCAATATGGTTGATGAAAGTTTAAAACTAATTTTTGTTCACCTAAAGCTCACTTATGTGCTAAACACATAGACGATGACAGGCGACAAGCAACATCTCTCACATATTAAAATACACATGTGCTTATGGACACAATTATTTAGACAACAATACGACTTCATGGCAGCATTTCTCAAGTTGTCGCTGTCCCCAAAGTCATTCTAATTTTGCCGACAACAATGGGCTGCTGTCGTGCGATGCCAATATAATTTGAAACAAATTTATTTACTTATTTTTTTGCACTAAAAATTTCACTTTAATTTTAATASTTTTTTGATCACTTTTTATTATGCTGCCGGAATAGTTATTATTTTTTTGTGATTTTTKGATTTGAAATGATTTTAAGCAGATAAATCTCCGCACTCCAGACATTTTTCCTTTCGAAGGTTCTCCTGGAAATTGACTCCGGCATCRAGGGTATCCAAAATTCTCAATACAAATCGCCGATTATTAAGGTAACTCAAATTTTGTAAATTTACATTTTATTTAATTGCTTAAATTGCCAAGTAGAATATTATTATATAAATTCTTTATCGTTTTGTATGTATGTATTTATATATGACGCTTTATCTTAGAARCCATAACTTTGTAATATTTAAAATGTCAATGTTGTGCATGAAAGAAGGAAAATTTGTTTTTGTTCGCCAAAAGTTCATTTAATCTACTTTTTCTCAAATTTTGCTTTTATGATASTTTCATAAAACTTTCCAATAAATTTAAATCATTCTCTAGAGTTAGGGTRTTGATGAGCCAGATAAAATTATGACAGCTGGATATTATATTCTTTAAGGTCATTTTAATATCCATTTAAAATAGATTCACAGTTCTTTGGAAATGGTTTTTGTATTTTTCTAAGCATTTTATAGTTATAGTCAAAGTAAAATATTATTTAAACAAATTTTAAAATTTTAAGTTTGCAGATTCATAGCTCTTCTTTCTGCCCGGTTTTTTCCAAAGAATATAGATGAAGAGGCCATGCTGTTTTTGTGAGTTCCAAAATTCCATTCATTTATAAAATATCAAACTGCCATAAGTGCTGAAGCTGCTGTTTAGATAAACGAAATTACTAAAATTTAAGAAATTTCCCTACTGATATTAACTAATGAGAGTGTTTGTTCTTTGTCGGTACCATAGTGCTATATTTTTTTCTGAGTGTTAGAGCCTGCGGTTTTCCTTAATGCTGATTCAAGGAGAGAAAGCCTCAAAGACGAGAAATAGTTTTTCTTTTTTGTTTTTTTTTTTTTTGTGTTTGGTTTTTTTTTTTTTCCTTGTGCTTGGTACTTCAATGCGACATGTTTTAATTTTTTTTTTTTTTT